AGTACTGCACTTCTTTTTTCAGGTATTAAAAGTCCGTTAAATTATAGAAAATGCTCGGGAAGTCACGTGATGTCGCTAGGAAAGTGACTGAATCAAAGATACCAACACAGTGCCGATCATTTTTTAGATTTTCTTTGGATTTTATTAAGAATCTTTAAATATACTACAGAAGAAACAAACTAAATAGATCAGCAATAATCTATGTGCGTGAGAAAGGTTTATTTATAAGAGATCAAGATAGATTGTGTCTATCACAACATAGTGAACCAACGTTCCTATCAGTGGTTTTAGCAATTGATTCAATATAATTGTTGAAGCCAATGCAAAACATGAGATTAAGAAGGCACGGTTAGCCTCAGTCATACTGATGCAATGCAACAAATATTATCTAAGATGATTAATAAAGAGCAGTTTCACTTTGGAGGTGTTAATAGAATCCTAAACTCTTCATAAATTTGGAGACAGCATAACAGGGACTTAGTCTCGTGCTAGCATTTAGAAAGCAAGTAAAACTTTTCTTCTCAATATCTTGTCTTATTGGATGGAATTCTAAAATGTATAAGTCTTTTTATAAATCGTGCATTGTATGCATATGCTTCCCTTAAATTCTCAATTTCTCCTCAGTCTACACATGTTTATCACTGTACGACTGATATAAATTATTTGAAATACCTGTGTGGTTCTCTTCTCTATTTTTGAGGCAATGTTTCCATCTAAACTTTTGATTCTGATGTAACATTTACTATTTTATATTCATTATATTTTAATTGTATTTGAAGATTTTGCAAGAATAATTATACTGATGTGAGGTAAATTTCTAAGCTTAATTAGTTATCCAGTTTGTAATGTATATAATGTGCCTAGCATCTATGTTTCCATTTATAAAATCTTTTAAGGTTTTGTGAAATTTGTGCGCTTTTCTTTCGGCATTTTAAAAGAAATAATGCAGATAATGTGGAGTTTAAAATATTTCAGCGTATTTTCAAGTCGATATTAGGTGCTTTAGATTTCAAGGGGACTTTCAAAAAAAAAAAACAAAAAAATATAATTATTCCCTATTTTCTCTTTATTGTGAGGCAAGTAAAAAATAATTTTCCTTGTGGATTGGCGAGATAGTTCATTATAAGCGTGTATCAGTTTGAATTAATAAAACATCAGAAAATTAAATTTGTTATTAAATTGGATTAATTTTCAGATTTTAATTCAATTTTGGTATCATCTACCTGGATTTATATTAGACTGGCATCCTAGATGAATGGAATCTACCAGACTCTGGGGGTTGTTTCGAGCATCTAAAGACAGGTAGTTTGCATTAGCGAATTATTGATCCAACAAACGACACCTGTACAGAAGTCGTCCTGGGTATGAGGATAAACTACATCCGCGGCCTGGGTATGACAATAAACTCCATCCGCATCTTGGGTAAGACGATAAACTACGTCCAACAGAAAAAGCCTCTGATCAGGAGGTTTTGAGGAGCATGGAACCACCTCTTAATTGCTAGTGTTCCCACGTCCACTCTGACCCGGGGTGGTAGCACCTGTTAAGGTCCCAGGTATGGGCAAATTGCTAACCCCGATACTGAGGTAAAAAGCATTACAAAAGTGTAAAAATTGGTTTTAATACCAGAAATAATTTGTAAAAAATTATTACCAGAAATATATTTTTGAAAAAATAATTATTACCAGCAATATATTTTTGAAAAAAAAAATATTACCAGCAAGATATTTTTTAAAAAAATATTGCCAGCAATACGTTTTTGCAAAAAGAATATTACCAACAATACAATAGAAAATATAATCAGAAAAAAAAAGTCGTCGGAATTAAATAACCCATTAAGGTTGATATGCCGTTAAACAACAAACCAAATCAAACCTGTACAGAGGAAGACAGGTTTTATGGGATTCCTATACTCACATCATTTGCATTTTGACATTGCTGATATATATAATTCGATGGAATATGAGAATTCCAGAGATAAGTTCTTGTAGCATTCCATTAGAATTTCAGTTTCTGAAAGTTTCATCAGTTTTTCATTGACACCTAAGATGTCTTCGGGAAATGAGATGCATTAGAGCAATGGTTAGAACATAATTTTGAGCAAACTATCAATTTAATAGAGCCTCACTGGTTTCCACCAATAAATCTGTTTCCAGTTCAGCTCTTATTTATTATCCCACAGTTCTGATGGGGAAGTAAGCTAAAATTAATTATTATAAAGAAGTCTTAACTTGTATGGAGTGTTTCGTCTATCGATAGACGGGTAAGTCGTGTAATATTAATTCTCTCATTCTCGGATACAACATTGAACAAATAGGCTACGTAGGAGGAGTGACGTAGCTAGAGTAAACGTCACCCGGGGCGGTCCGCTCAAATGTCACCCTAATGACCCCGATTCACGTTTGCTGAATGGTTAGCTGTAGCTAAATTTTCATACATGCTCTACCTCTACTTTACTCTACTGACCGGTACGTTACTGTTTACATGTATGATCCAAGACAAATTCCAATACCACAAAATAATCAGTTCAAATCAAAAGATTTTTAAATGCAACTGTTCACTTTCAGAACAACTAAATACAAAAAAACAGCAAAACACAAAAGAATGACATTCGATACTATGGTCTTAGAATGAATACTTTCTTGTTTTCATTGTGGCAAACTGGTCAATGACATCGTCAAAAATCTGTTTGTCTTGTAAGCTCGTTTTCAATGTCAGCACAGCCAGATCCGACAGTCTCGACTGGCTCATGGTTAACGTAATTTTCTGTTGCTAATTTTCCGGTGTCCAATTTTCCGTTGCATCATTTTCTGGGTACCATTTAATTATCAATGATGTTTGAAAGTATTTTTCTTGACAAAAATGTTCTATTTATTTTTTAAGCATTTTCAGAACATTGTAAATCAACTGCATTCTTTTAAAAGGTTACCTAGAAAATTTATACAAAAGTTTATTTTTTTTCTTTTCTTTATACCGTAAATAAATTTATCGTATTTTGATGTTATTATGATTTTAGATTTAATTGATAATTTAAAAACAATAAATATTTATCATTAGTACCAATAATGGAAAATTAAGTTAAAAAATTTAAAAGAATCGTTTTTGGAATCGGAAAATAAGCAAAATATTTCCGATACCGATACCCCAAAAAGTTCCGATTTTTCCGATTCTCGATTCCGATTAATTGATACACAGGCAAGACTGAAATTGTTGCACTTTTGGCTTTTTGTTGTTATTAATGATGCAGAGTTAAAACACCATATCAACCGATAAAATGTTACAATGTCTCTTGTTAGTAACCGAGATTGTAGCAACTGAAACACATGAAAGCTGGAAACACTGAAAACATTGCTATTTTTCCTACTCACAAGTTTCCCGACAATTTATTAGAAAATTTATGACGGGGGCACAAAACTAGGGGGTCATAAATTATTTCTGGGGGGTCATATTCCCGCCTGCGAAACCCTGTGTCTTCACCACTGTTTTCAGACTATTTTTGGCACCTCAGCCTGGTTGAAACATTTTGTTAGAAGTGACATTGTGTCACCCCACCTGTGAATGCACCCGGGTCGGTCCGCCCCCTTTAGCTACGCCACTGCAGGAGCTCGATATTACTATCGTAACATTAGTAAATATTGCCGAGCAAGAACAAGAATAATCCTCGTAATCCAATGCTTAGTCCAATCTGTAAAATTGTGTTTTCAGATCAGCATATAGAAACTTCAGTAAAACAAATAAATAATCTATTTTGTAGCTGTTGACTCATAAAATAAAGAAAATATAAAAATTCATTCAGTGTTATGATAAAGGAACTCATCCGTTCTTCGCAGTTCCCGCTTATCTGTGAATTCACTTTTCGGAAAGCAAAAGACGGATAATGATAGAAAAGCTGTAAAGTGTCTGTTTTAAGGGAAAATATGAAAATTCGCAACATATGAAATAAAGAAAAATCTTAAGCTATGGTTTCTAAAATCTAAGAAGGGTATTCTATTAAAAGGATATTGAAAATTTATATATTTTGTATAATTAAAGAGGGAACAAAACATTTTTTCAATTCCAATGATTGTTAAATAATAAGCAGATCCATCACACTTTCCTTTGATATAAAAATCACATTTTAAAAATTACACACTGATTCCTAAAATCATATAACTTAGAAAAAAGTCTTTGCAAATGTGTACATCCCCCAGATATTATACTGTGTTATCACATAGTTTATCATTGATGTATACAATCCAGAACAATTAAAAGTGACATGTGCGTTCTACCATAACAAACAAACTTGGCCAGTCTATTATTTTCATATATAAGATGATTTAACTGCCTTCAAAATCATCCACCACATGGTTTCTTGGTATCTTCGTCTTTGGACTCTGACTGTAAACACAAGGTGTCCAACTCGGGAAAGAAAAGATGACTAATGTTTTACAATTATCTGGTAGGTATATGTTGGATGTATTTCTACCATATCATCGATAAAATAAAAATAATAAAGTTAGAAGAAAACAGAATAAAACAGTAATAAAATATTTTTAAAAATAAATAGAATATATATATATATATATATATATATATATATATATATATATATATATATATATATATATTAAATATATGGATATAGATCCGACAGTATGAAGAAGAATATATGAAAAACAAAAATCTGAATATGCAAATATCGCTAATGTTAATTATGTTATAATAACTATGTCCTGAAGAAGGTCTACTAGAGCGAAACGTCTGACGTCGACATTGAAATAACATTAAAACAGCACATTTGCATATTCAGATTTTTGTTTTTCCATATATTTTTCTTCATATATATATATATGTATAAACATGTCTAAAAATTTTCAACTTCTCCCATATTGGAACCAACATTGGCAGAACAGCCGCGTCTAAGACTGCATAATGCCGTCGTTTTACAATGTCTATATCAGATTTTTTTAAATTTCTTTTCGTCACCTTTGCCTCTTTTTTCTAATGTAAATAGTTTATAGTTAAACACTGTTCAAACGCAACATCTATCCTATCTATCTATCTATCTATCTATCTATCTATCTATCTATCTCAGCCTCTTCTTATATATTTCTATATATAATTTTCTTCAATGATGGAATTAATATCGATTCTTAAGAGGTTATCGCTCCTTCTCGATACGCACCCCCACATATCGCTCATCTCTGCGAGAAAAACGAAGCGTTCAGAATATATATATATATATATATATATATATATATATATATATATAGGGAGAAAAACACACAAATGGACTATATAACTGCTTTAGCATATCTACGGATTATAATGGGAATGCCTCCATTCCTATAAATATATACTGTATGTCTTGGTTAGCCTGACTGCAGTTGGAGATTTTTATCTTCATCTGGGCTGGTTAATCTCTCTGCCCGAAGGCAAAATTGCATCCCCAGACGAGACTATGTCGTAGGGCAAAATCACGTCTCGGGAAACACCTACTCGACCCCGTTTTATAAGGGATGTACGGGGAATTTTTGAATGAGTCTACGCTCTCGGAAACCCCACATGAAATTCGGTCTTGTGCCTCATCTGACTGCGTGGGGCAGATGGTAGATATAGTCTTCGATCTGCATTTATTCTACGCGCCGCTGGCGAATGTTACATGTGTTGTTCTTGTCCGAAGTATTATCGTTCATTTCCAACCTTCGTTTGACTCTTCTATTCAGTAACCTTCGCTAGGTTAAAAAATAACTGCCAGTAAAATGTTCTGAAGTGAAGTTTTACAATTCAAAACATACCTGCGGAATTGAACGCCTGTAAACTCATAATGTCAAGGCAACAACGAAATTGCTATACGACACAATCTAGAATAACTCGAATGTGAAAAAGAAATAGATGGACAATGTTAAAAGTAAATTCAATGACAAAACGAGAATGAAAAAGCTGTATTAACACCAGCAGTCGAGGTTAACCCAAAGAAAACTATTCAAAGAAAAAATAATGTATGTCATTAAATACTTGACATGATGAAAAGAAGATGCCAAGGTAAAAAGAATAAAGGATAAATGAATGATTCAACAAAAGGAAAGGACGCTGATATTAGAGAAAGAAGAAATATATCTAAAATAGAAGAAATACATGGGTCAACAAAGAGCAGAAGAACTGGACGGAATTGTATTAGAAATGCTGGCTGCCCAAGATTATTTCGGCATTGACAAGATTCAAGACATAATAAAGGAAATAAACGACAATAGTGAAATACAGGAAGGTTTCAATATTTCAATTGTTAGAGCACTGCGAATGAATGCGAACTTTATCGGACAATTAACCTAATGAGTTATATAAAAAAATATGAATTCTGATGACGAGAGCGCGCAGCAGAATTAGACCGAAAATAGTATAAAACCATGTAGTTTCGTTAATGACACTGGAACAAGGAATAAGATGGTTATGCTCAGACTGATATCCATAAAAGGAATGCAAATGCAAAAGGATGTATAATTATATTTTATAGATTATGCAAAGGCGTTTGATAAAGTGCATCACAAAAAAAAAGTTGAAAGGTAACATTGATATATTTGGAAAGGATATTAGATTAATCCAGAATCTATGTTATGAATGTAGTAGATATACAAAATAATATCAAGTGTAAGAGAAGGATGTTACTTCTGACTGGATTTATTAAACCTCTACAGTGAGGCACCTCGTAAGACTTTCACTATTGACGGTCACAAGTTTAACAACATAAAATATGCAGATGATACAGAGTTGATAGCAGACACAGAAAGAAAGCTACAAGAGATCCTACAGAAGGAATACATCTTAATTGTAAGGAGGCAGAATGTATAGTTATCAGCAAAAAGAACAGCTCAACATGAAAATTACAAAGTGCAGATACCAGAATCAAGTCCGTATAACAAATTAAATATCTGGGAAGTGTTTTAACAGAAGACGGAAAATGCGACACCGAAATCCAAAGGTGCCTTGGGAAAGCAAACGATGCATTCGAAAAACTAATTATAGTATTAAAAAATAGGGACATATCGTTAAAAGCAAGAAAAGAGTACTGGATAGTTATGTAATATCAGTCCACCTATATAGCAATGAATGTTGGACAATCTCCACACAGATGAAAAGACACTAGAAGCAATAGAATTGTGGTTCTAAAGAAGGATTCTGCGAATATCAAATACTGAACATGTATAAGCATTATAAAGAGAGAGTTAAAATTTCTAGGGTCTTATAATGAGAAAGAAAGCTTGGGAAATTTGACACTCAGAAGATATATTGTAGGCAGGAAGTACGTTGGAAAGCAGCCCAAACAATACCTAATGAGCTTTATAAAGATGACAGATCAAGCTTTAAGAGATATAGCAAAATGACGAAATTTACTAAGAGCTGCAAAGGATAAGAAATTGTGAAGAGCCATGGGTTATGACACAAAGATGAAGAATTTATAGTTTTGCATTCGATTAATTATATACTGTAAATAGCAGTGCTCGATGCCCAGGCTACCCAGACAGAGACAAAAAATGTTTCACGACGTTATACCTCAACGAGATAAAACACGTGTTGTTATTTAAATTTCACGCGAACATCAGGCGACTAAAAAGCAAATGAAAGTAAGGACCTAGCATTTATACTTCATGCATCAGAAGAAAAAAACGTTTATATTATTCAACCTCACCGCGTAAAGGAAAATAACCCCCCCCCGAAAAACGTGTATGAACACAAGTTTCAGTGGCAGGTGGTACATAATGGTTTTTTCCTCTGCCCCTACCTAGTCATTAATTCCGACTGTTTTTTTTGTTTTACTACTCAAGTATCACTGATGAAACTTAATAACCAGACATTTTGGTATTTTTACAGTAATTTTTTGGGGGGGACCTACTCACTTAATTTTAATTTTCCTTTAAGAGGCTGATAGAGCCGTCATATTTTCATATTCCCTATGTTTGAAACTCAGCCTAGAGCTAAAATATGTATCTTTTTCCATTTATTTTTGGTGGCTCCGATTTATAGCTCTCCTCATTAATACGAATCCTATATTCAACTTCCGCCTTTGCCAAATATACTATATTTTCTATATACTACATACTATATTTTATATACTGCATTTTATGTATACTATATTATCGAATTACCTTCCATAGTATAGACGCTTTAATTCTACAATAGCATTTAGGTATATTTTATTCACTCTTAATGTTATTGATCAGCTTTTATTGTGATTATCAATTTTTCATATTTTTTCCTCAACAATAACTAACTTTTACATTATTTTTATTAAGTAGTTTATCGGAATACTATCGGAGAGTCGAGTTCGAATTCCACTCGAATTCGTTACATTGACTTGCGTGCAAATACCCTTGCGAAAAGGATAAATCCATTGCTTTCTTCTCCTTCAAGCTATGGACATACTGAGTTCTATAGCTCAGGTTAACAACCAGCCTAATGCAGAAAGAATTGGCGACTTACTGCGGGAAAATCTCCAAACGCTCTATTCCAACAGGCACTGAACCAGCATGAAAGGGTGAGTCTATTAATTTAACAAGAGAATAATATTTCATGTTGATTTGGACTCTGAAATATTGTGGAGTAAGCGTTTCTTTATTAGAATTATTAAACTATTTATAAAAATGTGCCGTAACAACAGTAGGATGATCAGAATCAGTGATTATAGACAATGACCTTTCCCAGGTTTTCTATATGGCTTATATTTACTTTTTATTAGGTTGAAGTTTACAGCTAATTAGTCTGCCTCTCTCAGATTCCATAGCACCTCAATTCTAAGTCCGTATTTATCGAAGAACGATACTAGAATTTTATGGTTTTTATCATTAACCCGACAACTTTTACTTTTAAAAAACACAGGTCCATCATTTTTACAGAGGCCTAACGTTTTTTTTTATCGTAATTATACGACTGCTTCCATTAGAAAAAAATTTTCTACAATCTACGATAATTCTGTGCCGTCGTAACTTTCTTTATTTACGTCAAACTTTTTTGTCCATATTTCGTTTTTGTGGAAGTGCAGGACTTTTTGAGAATGGTATGTAATAATCTTCTCTTCTTCACTTACATCTATAAACTGCTGACTTAAAATGTTGCTTTGCTTAATAAATTTTCAGAGATAGAATGTTAAATCTCCTTAATATCGAATTGTAAGAATCTGTATTTACTATTTTATTCTCTATCATCAAACCAATTTAGTTCTGCTTCGTTTTTCTTCATTGGTTATCTCCCAGTATTTTTCTAAGCCGATTACACACACGTTCCAAGATTCTTCTTTATCTGTTTAACTTTATAGCGTTGATTAGCCTACACTAGTGATTACTTTCAAAATCCGGTTTGTGGTGCTTAAGCCTCATCATTGCTCGTTTTTTTTTCCACCAATCAGATTATATTATGAGATATAACTAAAAATATACCTGCAAAAGGACAACTTAAACTTTTGTATTTATTCACACACACACACACATATATATATATATATATATATATGACGTCACATATTATGGAAATGAACAAAGTTCGACAATTATTTTAAGAGATTTTTATGTTTGTACATTCTTTTTATAGATACAAATATTTAAGTAAATGCTCTGTTTATAATAAACAGAATTAAACAACCGACTGAATGTCCGAGAAATTTTGCACAGAAAATATTCGTCCTCCGAAAGAAATCGAACCTGTATCCTATACGGAACCGTCGTTTAGCTTGACGTGCCTTTACCGATTTGGCCACAGTGGAGCGTTCGGTTAGCAAGGTTGAATTTACTGTATTTAAACTTCAATCTTCCATGGATCTCTCACGTACATTCATATCTGCTCATGGCGTATCAAATGTAAAAATTTCTCGGACATTCAGGCCAGTAAATATTGTTTAATACTTTGTGGTTCTAAAGCTTATTCTTATTTATCTTATCATTTTATTTGTTTATTTATTATTCATTACTTTATTATTCGTTGTTTATTATTATTATTATTATTATTATTATTATTATTATGTTTACTTGTGTTTTGTATTCATTTCTAGTTTATTTATTTAATTTGTTTATTTTATTTAGATTTTTTGTTTCCTTTATTTTTTCGGGTACTTGTTATTTATTTGTTTTAAAGAGCTGGTTTATCT